GTGAGTGACCAAACCTTTCTCTCTGGCTGCCCTTAGTATTTTTTCCTTCATTTCAACCCTGGTGAGTCTGATGAGTATGTGCCTTGGGGTTGCTCTTCTTGATGAGTATCTTTGTTGTGGTCTCTATATTTCCTGGATTTGAATGTTGGCCTGCCCTGCTAGGCTGGCGAAATTCTCCTGGATAATAGCCTGAAGAGTGTTTTCCAGCTTGGATTCATTCTTCCTGTCATATTCAGGTACACCTATCAAATATAGATTAGGTCTTTTCACATAATCCCATATTTCTTGGAGGCTTTTTTCATTTCTTTTCACTTTTCTCTAATCTTGCCTTCTCATTTTATTTCATTGAGTTAATCTTCAATCTCTGATACTTTCTTCTGCTTGATGAATTCAGCTATTGAAACTTGTTTATGCTTTGTGAAGTTCTCGTGCTGTGTTTTTCAGCTCCATCAAGTCATTTATGTTCTTCTCTAAGTTGGTTATTCTAGTTGGCATTTCATCTAACTTTTTTTCAAGGTTTTTAGTTTGTTTGCATTTGGTTAGAACGTGTTCCTTTAGCCTTGGAGAAGTTTGTTATACCAACCATCTGAAGCCTGCTTCTGTGAATTGGTCAAACTCATTCTCTATCCTGTTTTGTTCTCTTGATGGTGAGGAGTTGTGATCCCTTGGAGGAGAAGAGACAGTCTGGTCTTTGATGATTTTATTCTTTTTGTGCTGGTTTCTTCCCAACTTCATGGATTTATCTACCTTTGATCTTTGAAATTGGTGATTTGAGATGGGGTCCCTGAGTGGACCTCCTTTCTGTTGATGTTGAAGCTATTTCTTTTTGTTTTTTAGTTTTCTTTCTAACAGGCCCCACTGCTGTAGGACTGCTGGAGGTCCACTCCAGACCTTTCTTGCCTGAGAATCACCCGTGGAGGCTGCAGCACAGCAAGTATTGCTGCCTGATCTTTCCTCTGGTAGCTTTGTCCCAGAAAGGTACCCGCCAGTTGTCAGCAAGACCTCTCTTTTATGTGGTGTCTTTTTGGTGATGCAGCAGTCAGGAGGTTGCTTCACAAGGCAGTCTGTCCCTTGTCTGCCTGCAGGGGCACTCGTGGGCTGCCATGGCCTCAGTCCAGCTGTTGTGTAAGCTTCCTCTGGTTTTTGTTTACACAGGTAAGATCAGCTATGGCGATGCCTTTCCCCCCACCAAGCTGGATCGTCCTGGGTTGAGCTCAAACTGATGTGCTAGCTGCGAAACTTAAGCGAGAGGGTTTCAGTTTGCTGGTCTTTGTCAGGGTGGGACCTGCCAAGCCATATTACCTGTCTCCCTGCTTTCCACTCCCCTGCTTTCTAGGGAGCAGGGAGTTCTGTCCCACAGGCACTGTCAGCACTGGTTTAAAACATCCACCTAAATCTGTGCTGACAACCCATGACAGCAGCCAGGGCTACCACTCTGATCTGGTAGTAACTCATGCTTTTCAACCTGGTGGGGATCTCCTTGTCTGTGGGTTGCAGAGGCAATGGGAGAAGCTCAGTATCTGAACTGGAGTACCAGAGGGGAAGAGTGCCGGATACTCTGTCCAACTGCACTTCCCCGTGGGGCAGTGCCCTGCCCTGCCTCTGTTTGCCCTCCCTGGACTATACCCACTGTCCAACCAGTCCCTTTGAAATGAACCTGGTACCTTGGTTGGAAATGCCAAGATCACTCGCCTTCTGTGTCACTTTCACTGGGAACTGCACTCTGGAGCTGTTCCTATTCGGCCATCATGGCAGAAATCCTGTGTTTTTGTAATGATACTTGATTTTTATTTCTTGTACTTCAATAATAGTGCCCCAGAGGTCTCTCATAATGATTTTAAAGTGAGGGGTTGCTCTCCATCAATGTTGGCAAAAACATTCTAGTAGGCAAAGAGCAGGGGATTTCGTCTGTTTGTTTTCAAGTGATAGAAAGTAGCAGGGTCTGCTATACATAGTGAAGATATTTTATTAAACTTAGGGGTGTATATGTGTCTTCACTGAGTCCAGATAATTTCTTATCGTGGGTTACCTTTAGAAAAAGTTTGAAATCTAATGTTCTTTGAATATTTCAGTATTGTTTTTATTTCATCAACTTTAGTGTCTTTTCTGGGGTAAGGTGGTAATGTAAATAGTTAGCTTAAATGAGAGTTGAATTTAAATAACTAGCCAAAATTAGAGGTTAGGAACTAATAATACAGTGAGGGAGTGGGATAGTTCTGAGAACCCACTGCTTGGGTTATTTTGTCAGAGAGTCAATGCATCATTTAGTTCATCGTAAGAGTGAAATCAGGTGAGAGATTTAGTATCACTTATCCCGTTGTTGCTATGGCTGTAAGTTAAAACATATTGTACCAATAAAATTGATTGGTTTATGATTATTTAACTAAAATGCCACAGCACATTACGAAACAGTAAATATTCTCATTTATAAGTTTATTAAGCCATTGTCTGGTATTACGTATTTTAAATATCAGCATATTCCTGGGCTCATACTCAGTAATATCTTCATTAAAGTAAAAAAGTTGTGTTTTATTTGAAAGAAATACACAGTTTAAATTATATCATTGCTTTCTAAAGCATAATTGTTAGTTATCCTTTCGAATTGTTTTCAGTGAAAGTAAATTTTTGTGTCCCTTTTTAAGTTTTTAATATATTGTGAGACATGTATTTCAAAAATGATGTAAGGGTCATGTTTATTTTGAAATATTCTCAATTTTCTTTTCAGGGTTAGAATTTTAGTGCATATATGTTATGGTCATTCTACGTAATTTAGAAAACTAAAGCAAAGGGTAATATGTTTTATGCCAATGACTTTGTTAAAATATAGCTGCTGTTAAAATGGAATTGTTAGTAGAGACAACTTTCAATGATTTAATCAAATGCTGGATTATTTTGATGATAATGCAAAAAACCATCAAAATATTTTTCCCAAGTAATTTTTTTAAGTAATGTCTACTTTCCTTTGTATTGAAACTCAGTGTAGGTGAAATATTGTACACTGTTCTTTTAAAATCACCTTTTCTAAAGTGGCTGAAAAATATAAACACTGGTACATGATAAATAACTTAAAATTTTCTATAAATTTTTGCCTATTTTGGTATATAGAATTGCATTTAGAATTGTTTGAAAAACCAGTCATGTATTAGGCTTAACCTTGATTACAAAATTGGGCAGTTAACACAGGGTGAAACAAAACTGTAGATCACTTATAAGAACAGATACAGAAATCCTAAAAAAAAAAAAGGATTTTAAAAAGGGGAAATCAGGCAGTTTATCAAAAAATAATGTAATAATTTTCAAATAGGATGTATTGCAGTAATACAGGGACATTTCAACAGTAGAAAACCAATTACTGTAATTTTACTACATTAGCAGGTTAAAGAACAAAATCATATAAAAATCATCTCTGTAGATGCTGAAAACTGGGTGAAACTTAACACTAACTTTTGTTTTAAAAAGTGTGATTCAAGAAACAGAAGGTAAGTTCTTAATACAGTATGTATACACACCTGAAACCTATCTCAGGCTTTATAAGTAATGATGAAACATTGGAAGCATTATCATTAAAGTCAGGAACAAGACAGAGGGATTTGCTGCCATTGCCATCGTTTAATTGTGCCAGAGGTTCTAGCTAGAGCAATTGAAAAGAAAGAAATGTAAATATTGGAAGAGGAGAGAAAACATAGACATATCATATTTACATTTGATATGATTACCTACCTAGAAAATCTCGGTGAAGCAGCATTAAACTATTAATAAATTCAATAAAGTGGCCTGATGGAAGCCCAACGTAAAAAAATTAGAAAATGAAATGGAAAGAAATAGCCATAAATCCCCCAGATACTTTTTTTTTTGAGACAGGGTCTCTCTCTGTCACTCAGGCTGGAGTATAGTGATATGATCATGGCTCACTGTAGCCTCTACATCCTAGGCTCAAGAGATCCTTCCATCTCAGCCTCCTGAGTAGCTGGGACAACAGGTGTGGGCCACATGGCTGGCTAATTTTAAAAAATTTTTTGTAGTGATAGGGACTCACTGTGTTATCCAGGCTGGTCTCAAATTCCTAGGCTCAAGCAATCCTCCTGCCTTGGCCTCCCAAAGTGCTACAGTTATAGGTATGAGCTACCACACCAGCCCCCACCCCCAGATACTTTAGAATAGACATAATAGATAATTGTGGAAGAAAGGAATCAAAATTAATAGAATGCTATATATTCATGAAGAAAACATGTAGATACAAATAATAACATAAATGAATCTTGAAAACAATGTTGAGCAAAAGCAGGATACCAAAGAATATATATTTTGTGATTCCATGAACATCCCCAAAGTTAGGTAAACAGTATATTAAAGAAATGTAAATATCTAATATACACCATTTTGCATTTCATCCATGTAACCAAAAACCACTTGAACCCCTAAAGCTATTGAAATTTGAAAAATTAAAGTCATTGTTCCATCTAGTAACATTAATATTACATGTATGCAAAAATCAGTTAAAATTATTGTCTGTATATACTTGAACTGTATATATATCTAAATACATAAAATAATGTCTAAAAGGCACTAATGAAAGTATTAACAGTCATTACCTCTGGAGGTGGGAGCAAAATAGACCACAAATTTTTAATCTTGTTTGAATTTTATATACTGAAGATATATAGTGTAATTAAAAAAATTATCATGGGCTTTTGAAATGCTCTTCTATCATAATATTAGAAAACTTAAAGTTAACATCCATATCTGAACACACAACTGTTTAGTTATCATTGGGAAAGGACCCTTTTTCACAGTTTCTTTTCATCTAATGTTTCTGTTTGTTCAACAGTCAGCATGTCAAAGACTACAGTGTTTTCTGTTTTGAAAGATAGGGTAATTTAGAGGAGAGTTATGGAAGTATGAGCTTTACCTTTTTCTTGTTTTAAATTTCTGTTAATTTGGGATTCTCAAAGAAGTACCTCAAAATCTTTATTTAATTTGTAGTTTTACTTTTTGTCCAGGCCCATCAAACTCCAGAGAAGAGAGTGAATACTGGAGAAGAAAGGAGGAAAATGTCTGAGGTATAAAGACATCTGTCTAGTTATTTTAAAGCTTTGCAGAAATAATTTTAAAAAGAAACAAAATCTTACTATAAAGCCTCCAAACCTCACCTTATTTCTTTCAAATACCTGTTACTTCTTTTTTTAAAAAACCTCACTGAACATACCTCTGTCATTGGTGTACTAACTTTCCTAATGAGACTAGAAAAAGTAGGAATTATTATTGATAAAAATGTTCTTTTTTTTATTTAAGGAAGCAGCAAGAAAGAGAAGGCTGGATTGTGTTGAAAAAGAAAAGAAACAAAAAGATCAGGTAGTTTTTTGCTCTTGTTTTTCTACCTTTGGCAAGTTGTAAGTGATGATAGGGCCAAGAGTTTTAAGAAGTTTGTCTTTAAAATTGTTACAGATTATTAGTTTAATGAAGGCTGAACAAATGAAAAGGCAAGAAAAGGAAAAGGTAAGAGGATAATCTATTAAATAGTTTTTTCTTAAAGAATATACTGATTTTTAGTTTATTGCTAAATGTATTATATGTATTTTTTATTAAGTACTTGAAATGGTGTTTTGTTTATTTCTTTTCCCCAAAGTTGGAGAGAATAAATAGGGCCAGGGAACAAGGATGGAGAAATGTACTAAGTGCTGGTGGAAGTGGTGAAGTCAAGGTAGGCATTTTATACCAATATGGTTATCCTACTGTTTTTCTCTCCAGTTTCATCTTGTGCTTTAAAGTGCATGTACCTGGGATTTTCTTTCTTTCTGTAGTGTACAGTTAATTTTTACCTAGAATTCTTCAACATTTATTATGAGTTCTTAGCTTTTCTGCATGTATCTGATATGTAACTTTATCAATAGTATTGATAACTAACTTATCAATAGTATTGATAATTATTATGTGACTACACTTAAAATTGCTTTAAAAGTTTTTTTGTGAAGACTATGATGATAATATTCCAGGCAGAGGAATTTTTAAAAATCATACACAATTCGTGACACTGCATCCCAAAATCCTTCCTTAATTTCGTGTAGCCTTAAAGATGAAGTTCTCAGAAGACATTTCTTAATCTGATCCCTGCTGTCTCTCCAGCTTCATCTCCATCCATTCCCTACCACACACTTCACGCTCTGTTCATGCTGAAATGAAGATATTTGTAGTTTCATTACTGTGTGTAGTCTGCTGAATCTCTTTGTCTTTGCACTTGTGTTTCCCTTTACTTAATGGCACTCCTCCATCCGTCCTCACCCTTACCCCCTACCTCTATCCATTTACCTAAATAACCACATACCCAGATAAGTTAATCCAAACATTCCCTCTGGGTAGAGCCACACTGTATAACCTTGGGCACATTACTTATCTTTCCTGAGCTTTGATTTCTTGATTTAAAAAAAAAAAAGTTTTTCTGAGAATAGTGCCTGGAACTTGTCTGGCAAGGGCTTCTATAGTAATTTCCCTTTCCTTTCTTTGTTCTGCCAGTCTGAATCTTATACTTCCTCTTTTGCTCATACAGCATCCTGCACATATCTCCATCTGGAGTAGGTAGAATTCTAAGATGGTCTCCAAGATTCTCGACCCCTCGAATACACACCTTGTAGTATTCCATTCCCTTGAGTGTGAGTGGTACCTGTAAATATTGTGGTGTAGCAGCTCACTTGATTAGGTTTTGTTATGTGGCAAGTGGTGATGGATGGTCCCTCCCAGGATTACATTAACGAATAAGACTCCTTCATAGCAGGCTAGCAGGGGAAAAGAAATTAGAGAGAGATAATTCTGCTCACCTGGAAGGTAGTAAACATTCTCGTGGCGAAACAGTAGAGATGACCTCTGCAAGTGGTGGTCTCTGATGGGCAACTAGCAAGAAAATTGTGGTCCTAGTCATATAGCCACAAGGAAATTAATTCTGCCGAGAACCAGTTAACTTGGAAGAGATCCCGAGTCTCAGTTGAGGACTGGAGCCCTGGCTGACACCTTGGTTTCTGACTGGTAAGAGGAAGGAACTCAGCCAAATGCACCCAGACTCCTGAGCCAGGGGAACTGAGATTCTAAATAGGTATTGTTTTAAGCTGTTAGATTTGTGATAATTTATTATATAGCAATAGAAGATGAATGAATAATTTGTATCACTGAATAACTTGTAAGTTAATTCATCTTTATAAGTTTCAACCACCTATACCCATTAATGCTGATATTTAGATGTACAATAGATACTTGACAAATTGGATCAATTACAGTTCTTGTTTTTTCCCCAAAAGTTATAATTTGAGTAAAAGTTTGCTTTGTTTTATCTGGGCATATACATTCTACCCTGGATTTATAGATTTATTTTTCAGTCTCTTGAGATGCAGAAGTTTTTCACATCATATTAATAATTCATTAGAGTAACGTTTTCCAAATTTGTGTTAATATAGATTATACAGTGTTTTTAGTAATACAATTTTATTTTACCTTTAAGTAGAACTTACTACCTCCTGAATGATCGGGAATGACTCAGAATCTGGTCCATTCTAAAATAACTAACCTCATATCTTATCTGATTGGAAAAAGCAAGCTTACCACATTGTAGGCCTTCAAGCATTTTTTTTTATCTAGTCCATGATTAGCACTGAAGTTTTGATGATTTTTTTTCTTCTCCCATTGTACATACCTTTTGAGTAATAAAATGCTTTTTCCTATGATGTCTAATATAGCATTAGTAAGTTTTATTAATGTTGTTTGATAACTGAGACACTTTTCAACAGTTAGATACTGTGTGCTGGATAGATTTGTGTCACTTTATAAACTTCTGTAATGGTTTCATTGAGGATTAATGAAACAATTTATTTTCCATGATTTAAAGGAAATTCTTGGTTTCTATATTCCTCATCGAGTTTGAAATATTTTAACTTGTTAGGCTGTTTGATTTCTACATAGTTGATAAGGACCTGGAGGCTCAATATTATAAAAATAAAATTAAGGAGATCACCAAAATAAAGACAAAGCAAAACTAAAACTAAAGGAAGTATTTCAAAACTAATACTGTTATTACATACTTCTAGATAAGAGGCATTATTATTCACAGTATAAATATCCAATGTAAATGTTTTTGATTATTTAGTATCTGCAAAATCTGGAACTTCTTTGTTTTATCTATTTTTAATGTGTCTTTGATGAATGTGCTTTAAGAAAAATGATGATGTAGTCCACATTTACGGTGATCATAATATGAAGGAGCTGTATCTTTTGTTTGAAAAGCTATTGGAATACCATTCGGCAGTAAAAGAATCGCCTGTTTCTTCATGCAGCAGCATGGATCAGTCTTAAAAACTTATGAGTGAAAGAGACCAGATAAAAGATTACATATTTATTTTCTCATTTATATAATATTATAGGAGAGGCAAATCCAACCTGTAGTGACAGAAAGCAGATTAGTGGTTGCTGGCAGTGGGAGCATTTACTGCAAAGGAACACAGGGAACTTTCTGGGGTAATCGATACGCTTTTGCTTGTGGTCATGACTACATGAGTACATACATTTGTCAGAATTCATCAACCTTTGCTTATAATTGGTGAATTTTTGTATATAAATTATGTCTCAAACAAACATACTGCATCAGCATTCTAATACAGTATTTTCAACATTATTTTGAGTATGAGCATCTTCTAAGATGTTTACATGCCTTTGTTTTTGCTAAAAAGAAATGGAACACAGTCAAATTAAGATGATCCTAGCATTGGACTAAACTCAAAAAGTAACCAGTTTCGTAGTAAATCTGACCACCTTATACGAGAGTTCTGATTCTTGACTTCAGATGTACTTTTGAGGATGTATGTAAGGACCACCTGATGGAGGTTTCTGTTCTAGCAGTTTTCATCACTTGTTATTTGAACATCTTTAATCAATTTTATTTATCATGTACTGATTCCTTTTTAATCATGCTTGCTTATAAAATAGTGTGCAGCTTACAAGATACTGAAACAAATTTTATCTTACTGGGTTACACTGAAGTTTCTTTTATTGGATTCTGATATTTTTCTTTGTTTCTTCTATTATTATTTTGAGACAGGATCTCACTCTGTCACCCAGTGGTGGAATCACAGCTCACTGTAGTCCTGACCTCCTGAGCTTAGATAATCTTCCCATCTCAGCCTCCTGAGTGGCTGGGACTACAGACACATGCCACTGTGCCCAGCTAATTTTTTGTATTTGTTGGGTTGGAGTTTTGCCAAGTTGCCCAGGCTAGTCTCGAACTCCTGAGCTCAAGCAATCCACCCACCGTGGCCTCCCAGAGTGCTGGGATTACAGGCATGTGCCACCCGCGCCTGGCCTTTGTTTCTTCTTTTAACCAGACATTTTCCTTAAGATGTTATCACCTGGAAGTTTCCCCTTTTTCACTCTCAGTATTGTAGCTTCTGTTCTCATCACTTCACACTCTCAGAAAGTGGTTTTTTAAAGGTATCCGTCCACTCAGCCAGAATAAGACCATATCTGGTGGTCTTATTCTCAGATAAAGTTCAAATAAGTTGACCTTTGCATTTGAAGTTACTGATTTCCTTTTCTCAATGAAATTCTTCCACCGTGACTTCTGTAGCATTATACAGTTTTTATTTAATTTTACTCTTATCCTTTTCTGGCATCTCTATTTTTTTGCTATGAGTTTTCCATGTGTTGAGTTCTTATGTCTCTGTGGTTGAGTCTTTAAGTCTTTGCCTTTATTCTTTGTCATTCCTACAGATAATCCAGACTTCCTTCAGCATGTAGTTTTCATTGACTGGCTTTCTTTACTTCTAGGTGTCTTGGCTTGGTGTCAGGGCAGCAACATCCTTCCAATTAATTCCCCTGCCTTACTTTCTTATTTCTGCTTACCATGCATAATATTGACGTACTGACCTTTCAAACTCTTTCGGTATGCTGCTGCTGCTAGAAACTTTTTAAATGCTTTCTATTGTTATTTATTTGAACACAAACACCCAGGGCTGATAGCGTTTACCTATACCAAGTGTTTATAGCCAAACTTGATACTCCTTATTTGCCTGCCTTCTGTTTGTAATCATGCTTCTTTTCCCCTCCACCTTCCATACCTAAGTATATACTTATATGGCTTATTTTTACTGTAATGCCTTGGCTCATATTTACTCTCCTTACATTGCTGTTGAGACCAGATTTAACAATATCTTTCCGCAAGGCCTTTTTTCTAATTAAGGATTTTACTGATTTTTTTTTTTTTTTTTTTTTACTATTTTGTGATTTGTGCATTACTTACTACTTTGGAATCTCTCTGTTGTCACTTGTTCACCACAGAATTGAAAATTTTTCTTTCTCTTTTTTTTTTTTAAGACGGGGTTTCACCATGTTGGTCAGGCTGGTCTTGAACTCCCAACCTCAGGTGATCCACCACCTTGGCCTCCAAAGTGCTTGGATTACAGGCGTGAACCACCGCACCCGGCCTTTTTTTTTCTTTTTTTCTAAGTTTTTCTAATTTCTTGCTGTTTTTCCCAACTTACTTGGAAACTAAAGATAGATATGACTTTTTGCCTCATATATATATATAGAACCTGTTTTAATAATGTTTAGACCTTCATATCTGCTTGGTGAATTTAAGGATTTGGGGTATATTAAAAGCCATGTGCAGATGTTTTTATTAAATATAATTCTGAATGTTATATAAAAGCAGCCTCTACTTATAAGCTGTACATAAACTTAATGAAATAGAATTACATGAAATGAATATTGGAAGTTTGTTTCAAAACTTGTTAAGACCAGATTTTTCCATGTTTACATGAAATCAGTGACATTTTGCTGTTTCTGTTTGTCACATTAAATTATGCTTTGTCAGTTACAATACTTCTTGGTTGTTAATATTTATAATAGGAAAACATTTTGCTTTAGGCTTTAGATTTCTTAGTATGTTTATATTAAGTAATTACTTTTTTAAAGTCAAGCATTGAAATTTACTCTTTCTTTTGAGATTAGTGCAGGCCTGTAAGGCCTTATGAGATAAACACATGAGAGCTCTTTGTTTAATTCCTAGGTTCCTTTTTTTGGCAGTGGAGGGACTATAGCTCCATCAACCTTTTCTTCTCGAGGACAGTATGAACATTACCATGCCATTTTTGATCAAATGCAGCAACAAAGAGCAGAAGATAATGAAGCTAAATGGAAAAGAGAAATATATGGTCGAGCTCTTCCCGAAAGGTATGGCTATGTTCTGCAGAAGTTGCTTATGCTTTGCTTCTGAGATAGTAATGAAAGTCACTGTGCGTATTTATCTACAGAGGAATTCTGCCTGGAGTTCGTCCAGGATTTCCTTATGGGGCTGCAGGTCATCACCATTTCCCTGATGCTGATGATATTAGAAAAACTTTGAAAAGATTGAAGGCGGTGTCTAAACAAGCCAATGCAAACAGGTTGGACTGTGATGATCCATGAATTCATCCTTGTGTGTAATTTTGTTTGTCATGTATAGCTTAGTACATAAACTTCGTGGATGTTTTCTCCATTGTTCACATATGATATTTTTTTGCCTCTTGGGTACAATAATTTTCTCAGGTGCAAATTTGGCCCATGATTACATTGTGGAAAGCACCTAGCTGTCCAGTTCAGCCTGATTTTTGTGTCTTATTTGTGTGTTTAAACTGAATATACTATTTAAAGAAACGTGATAATTTTCTGCCAACATAATTACAATGTTTCATCACCCACTTGCTTTAAATGAATCAGGATTTAATCTGAATCTAAACAGAACCACACTTGATGCAGAACCCCAGTGCATTGTTGTCTTCCTTTTCTCTGTCACTTCAGAGCCTACTTTTCTCTTTGCTGTCTTAGCATGCTTTCTCTTCACATTCACCTCTGATTTATAACTCTGTGATCCTATTCGTTATATTCTTTTCTTCCATTGAATTAATATTTCTTTTATTAATCATTAATATTTATTTTCTTCCATTTAATAATGCTGTCAGTGATTGTAACTTGCATAGTTCTTTTTTTCTTAAGTTTGTATATGTGTTTTCTTTGACATTCCTGTTTCTTCTATAAAATATTTTGGCGAAGAACAGATAACATTTTGTGAAAATTTAATCACATTGTCTTTTCCTTATATTGATGTTAAGGAGAATACTGTCAGTTGTTATAAAAATCTTTGATTCCCTCCCTCCATTATAAAAGATGATTAATATGTACTTGAGCAGGGATAATTAAGGTAAATGTAAGTTAACATTTATATACACATTATGAATTGTATACAGAAGCCTGAGCTATGAAGCTTCTGTTTTTTGAGAAAGGAAGGTTATAGACTTACACATATGCATATTTTTGATGAATGGTGAGAGAAAGTTTGTGAAGGCTTTTATTCTCCAGAATTATTGATCTTTCTAGTATATATATTTTTTAATTAGAAATCTTTATTTTTAGAGCGATTTTGGGTTCACAGAAAAATGGAGAGGAAAGTACAGAGTTCCCATTACCCCTTCCTCACACATCATAACCTTTGTATCGACATCCTCATCTGAGTGATAATGTTTGTTACAATCAAACATTGATCCATTATCACCCAAAGTTCATAGTTTACATTCGCGTTTATTCTTGGTATTATACATTCCATGACTTTTGACAAATGTATAATTATGAATATCTACCAGTGTATTACCATTCAAAATAATGGCGATCCCTTAAAAATCATCCCCTGTGCTCCACCTTCCTACAACCTCCCTCCCAGCTCTTGGCAACCACTGATTGCTTTAATGCCTTCATAGTTTTACTTTTTCTAGAATATCTATACTTGGAATCGTATAGTATGTGGTCTTTTACAATGGCTTCTCTCACTAATATGCATTTAAAGTACCTCTGCATATCTTCATAGTTTCACACTTTATTTCTTCTTAACGCTGACTGATATCCCATTGTATCTATCTATGTACCATACTTTTTTTTGTAATTTTTTTTTTTTTTCGGAGACACGTTCTTATTCTGTCACCCAGGCTGGAGTGCAGTGGCATGATCACGGCTCACCTGCAGCCTTGACCTCTGGGGCTCAAGTGGCCCTCTTACCTCAGCCTCCTGAACAGCTGGGACTACAGGTGCTTGCCACCATGCGTGGCTGATTTTTTAATTTTCTGTAGAAATGGGTCTTATTATGTTGCCCAGGCTGGTCTTGAACTCCTGGGCTCAAGCAGTCCTCCTGCATTGGCCTTTGAAAGTGCTGGGATTACAAGCATGAGACACCATGCCCAGCTAGAATGGATATACCACACTTTATTCATTAATCTACTGAAGGATATCTTGGTCGCTTTTAAGTTATGGCTATTATGAATAAGGCTTCCACAACTATTGGTAAATAGGTTTTTTTGTGGACATAAGTTTTTAAGTATTTAAACAGATGCCAAGAGGATGATTGCTGGACCATATCTTAAGAGTATGTTTGATTTTGTAAGAAGTCACCAAACTGTCTTCCAAAGTGACTATACCATTATGCATTCCTGCCAGCAGTGATTGAGAATTCCTATTGCTCCACATCCTCTACCACATTTAGTGTTGCCATTGTTTTAGATTTTGGCCATTTTAATCAGTGTGTAGTGGTATCTCGTTTTAATTACAATTCCCTAATGCCATATTGAACATTTTTTCATATGCCTCATGCCATCTGTATATCTTTCTTGATGAGTTGTCTGTTCAGGCCTTTTGCCCATTTTTTAATTCATTTTTATACTGTTGAGTTTTGAAAGTTCTTTGTTATTTCATATAACAGTCTTTTATCAGGTATGTCTTTTGCAGATGTTTTCTTTTTCTTTGTGGCTTATCTTTCCATTCCCTTAATATTCTCTTTTGCAGAGCAGAATTCTTTTTTTATATAAATGAAGTCTGGCACATCAGTTCTTTCTTTCATGGATTGTGTCTCTGGTGTTATACCTGGAAAGTTATCACTATAAACAAGTTCATTTGAGTTTTCTCCTAGGAGTTTTATAGATTCGTGTTTTGTCTTTGCGTCTGTGATCTTTTTGAGTTAATTTTTGTGAAAGATGTAAGGTCTCTGTGTCTAGATTCATTTTTTTGCATGTGGATGCCCAGTTGTTACACATCTCTTGAAAAGACTAGATTTGCTCCTTGGAATTGCCTTTGCCCCTTTGTCAGTGATCAGTTGACAAAGGATTTTTATGTTCATCTATTTCTGTGCTCTCTGTTCTACTGATTCATTTGTCTGTTCTTTAACCAGTACCACACTGTTTTGATTGTAGTAACTTAATATAAAGTCTTGAAATTGGGTAGTTTCAGTCCTCCAGCTTTGTTCTTCAATATTGAGTTGGCTATTCTGGTTCTTTTGTCTAAGCTCTAGAATCAGTTTGTCCATATCTAAAGACTAACGTGCTATGATTTTGATTGGGATTGTGTTGAATCTGTAGGTCAGCTTGGGAAGAACTGACATCTTGACAATATTTGATCTTCCAGTACTTCCTATTAGACCTGAAATCTCTCTCCTTTTATTTAGTTCTTTGATATTTTCCATCAGAATTTTTAGTTTTCCTCATACCTGTGCATATTTTTAGATTTGTAGCTATGTGTTACTTTTTGGGGAGTGCTAATGTAAGTGATAATGTGTTTTTAATTTCAAATTCTACTTATTCATTGCTTATATATAGGAAAGCAATTGACTTGTTTAGTGACCTATCCTGCAACTGTGCTATAATCACTTTTTCTAGGAGGGGTATTTTTGGCAATTCTTTTGAATTTTCTACATAGACAATCATGTCATCTGCAAACAAAGACAGTTATATTTCTTCTTTTCTGGTCTGTACACTTGTGTTTTCTTTTCTTGTCTTATTGCATTAGTTAGAACTTCCAATATGATGTTGAAAAGTAGTGCTGTGAAAGGACATCTTTGGCTTATTCCCAGTCTTAGAAAGCTTCAAGTTTCCATTAAATATAATGTTAGCTGTAGATTTTTTGTAGATGTTCTTTATGAAATTGTGGAAGTTCCTCTCTAAGTTTTCTGAGATTTTTAAAAATCAGAAATGGTTGTTGGATTTTGTCAAATGCTTTTGGGTTTTTTTGCATGTATTGATGGATCTTATGATTTTTCTTCTTTACCTTATTGATATGATGGATTATATTAACTGGTTTTCAGATGTTGAACTAGCTATGTTTTATTATGTTTTGCTATAAGAATAAAAATGCCCTTTTCTTTCATAGCTGGCAATCACTTGTAAGGAAATGATTTAATTACTATGTGTATAATGTTCTCATGATCTCTTTCTTAATAATACTCATTTATCTTTTCACTGACGTCGAGCAACAACTTTCTCTTCTCCAAATTTAAACTGTTGTCTTTGTTCTTCAGTGTTTGCTTTACTTAAAGGCATTTAATCTTTTTTCTTCCTCTCATTCTCAAATTCTTTTTAAATATTCTTTCTTTTGCTGAATTCAAGAATTTCTGTTTTAAAAATATTAGCAGCTAACTATCTTATTATTGTCCTTTCATATAGGGTTCTTAGTCAACTGTTTCTCTCCTTATTGCTCAGTAAAAGAGAAAACCTGAAGGAAAATCACAAGAGGCACTTTTTAAAACATTGTTTTTTCTGATTGCTAAGTGATGTAGGTTAGTTTTAGAAAAATTGGAACATGGAGGAGGAGGGTGTTAGGAAACAGGAAAGAAAATAAATTCCAAATCCCTGCCGAGGCAAGTCACTGGTGAAGAATTTGGTTAATTTTCATGCATACTTTTTTCCTTTTCTTTTTCCCTAGATAGTGGAAATCAAGTCTTGCATACAAATTTGTATCTTTTAAAATTTAGTGTTATCATGTACTTTTCCCATCTTAAAAATTGTTTTCAAGTTTTTAATATATGCATAAGATTCCAGTGCCTGAATGTGCTGATTTATTTAACAAATCGCCTAATATAACAAGTTCTTTGTAATCCTTCACCTTTTTGAACATTTTCTGCCACATTTTATTCTTTAAATAGAATCTCATAAGGGCAACTATTTTGCTAAAGGATTTGGTCATCTATGTTCCTGATGAAGATTCTAGAAAGAAATATTACTAAGTTTTTCTAGAAAAATGCCAGTTTTTACTCAACAAGTATATGATAATGCCTGTTTTATTGCCCCCTGGCCAGTATTAATAACTTTTTAGGAGCTAAAGAACTTTTTAAATATAAAGTTTAAAATCAAAGTAGTATAGGAGATGACCTTTCACTGTAATTCTGCACTGTTAACACAATAGGATAATTGAGTGACTTGTCATGTGGAAGAGGAACTAGACGCAAGGTGGAAATATAAAGACACTTTTCAGTCCAATATGAGGGCTGTTCAGTGGTTGGAACATCATGGGATTTAATGAGTATCTTCAAACTGAAAGTATTAACCAGAGGTTTAAATGACAGTGTGTCATGGGGTATTTTGATGGGAATACGGGAATATTTTATTCAGTGACTTGGACTAAATACCCAAGATCTCTTCCCATCTGAATGATTCTTTTGTCTTGTACTGTTTAGTGGTCACTAGCATTATAGAACATTTTCTCTGCACACTCACAATTTTCGGTTATTATAATTTTTATGTCATTGTCATTCTTGGTTAGTTCCTTTATTTGATTCAAACTGAATCAGCAGACCGAAATCTGTAGTCATCTAAGACTCTTTTCAGATTTCCTTTTCTTCATAATCACCCATATTTGCCTGTTTCTTCTTTATGATATTATTTATTTTTCCTCTTCCTCTTTCGTTTTTTTTTTTGGTGGAGGGGATGGAGTTTCATGCTCTTATTGACCAGGCTGGAGTGCAGTAGCACAGTCTCAGCTCACTGCAACCTCCTGGGTTCAAGAAATTCTCCTGCCTCAGCCTCCTGAGTAGCTGGGATTACAGGCATGTACCACCACATCTGGCTAATTTTGTATTTTTAGTAGAGATGGGGTTTCTCCGTGTTGATCTGACTGGTTCGAACTCCCAATCTCAGTTGATCCACCTGCCTCAGCCTCCCAAAGTGCTGGGATTACAGGGGTGAACCACTGCACCCAGCCTCCTCTTCCTTTCTTATCAGCAACTCTGACCAATCTGACTTTGCTTATATCCAGTGTCTTAATAACATACCTCTCTATTAGGCTTTTTAATATTAGAAGCTCCAGCCATGTATGGTTCAAATGGCTGAAGCCACTTTTTAAAAATTACGGAGTGCCTCCTAACATTTATGTTTTCAAGGTGCTTTTACTTTTCCCAGGTCCTTTTGTGTGTATTGCTTCATTTAATTTGGATGAAGCTAACAACAATTTCATTCCATTACATAGACAGTGTACCCCTTAAGAGGAAGCTAAATGAACAAACCCTTCTACATCATTTTTTCATCTCAGTAATTCTTTACCACCCCAACTCTTCTGCCTAATACCATATTACTCATTTTTATTTCTCAGATTATCTGTTACCTAGAGTGCTACTTCTGTTTATGTTGTCTTCACCTCCTAAAATATTCCATTTATAATTATTCTTCAAAAGTTTTAAGTTTTCTTTATCAGTAAAGAATTTGAACCATGGATATGAGACATGAAGTTCCCAGCCAAATCTTGTTGCTTTTTCATGCATTTAAAATAAAAAAAGGAAAGAAAATAACATATTCCCTTTTCCTCCCCTTCTCCTATCAGGGTTAAAAAAGGAAAGTTTGTCTTAGAATAATTTTTTTTTTTTTTTTGGAAACAGAGTCTTGTTCTGTCACCCAGGCTGGAGTCATTGGCGCAATCTCTGCTCTCTACAACCTCCACCTCCTGGGTTCAAGCAGTTCTTCTGCCTCAGCCTCCAGAGTAGAGGTGTGTGCCACCCTGCCCAGCTATTTTTGTATTTTTAGTAGAGACGGGGTTTCACCATATTGGCCAGGCTAGTCTCAAACTCCTGATCTGGTGATCCACCCATCTCAGCCTCCCAAAGTGCTGGGATTACAGGCGTGAGCCACTGTTCCTGGCCAGAGTAATTATTTCTTGACAAAAGAACACTATAATTCTGTTATCTCATTGTTTGATGCCCCTTATCCTTGTACATTATGCTTTTTAGTCCATTTTAATGTCTTTCTATTTCCTATCCAATTCCTTATTTCTTACTGTATTTGCATTTATATTATCATCCTCTTATCATTAATTCAGGTCATTGTTTTGCTGATTTTAAGCAGTATAGTTCTGGAACTCAAAAGAAGTACTCTAATTTTTGTAAAACAGAGCACACTCACATGAATTCTTAATAGTGTTTAATGAAGATTACTATCAGGAAGTAAATTGACTGTTGAATCCTTATCCCCATGATCCCAGCACATACAGTTTATGCCCATAGTTTAGTACAGTTGTACTGCTTTAGAGAGGACTAATTATATGAGTTATTGGCTATTTTTCGTGTATATGAAGTAGTAAACAATAATGCATATGAAAAATAAGGATACAGAGTTTCTAAGTTTTTAAACAGTCTAAGGAGTCATAAAATTTATTAAGTTTTGTCCTTCATTCTATTAACATGTGTCACTCTGATTTTCATATGTTAAACCAACCTTGCCTCCCTGGAACTCTGTTTTATTCATCTTTATGTCTTTTGACAGATATAATGTGGCAAATAGTTGACATTCAATATTTGTTTAATAAATGAGAGGAAAAAAGAAATAGTGTTAAACAAAATCACTACAGTTACTAAGTTTGTATTTGAAAGCAGCCAGTAATGTAAACCTGCTTATTTAAGGCAGCTTAGGAAGCGACTGTTCAATGAAACAGAATTTATAAATCAGATAAATACATAGAGCAATTAATATTATATATACATAAATGGTATGAAAATCTATAAATGAAAGCTGTGTTACATATGACCAGGTTCCTAGTAAGATAATTCTCTGCAACCACTGTTTAACAAATGCCAATTGGAAGTTCAGGCTAACAATCACTGGACACAGAAAGTGTCTTAAGATGGGAAGTCAAACATGCTTTACTTTTGTAAAGGAGAAGGAAGTTGATACAATCAGGATATACAGCAGAGAGATCAACTGTCTTGTCTGATTGTAGATGGTGGTTTAAGCTTCCAGGACTCCCTAAAAGAGCCTTGTCAGTAACCATAGAGTTTCAGATATCATGTCTAAGCATCATACCTGAAGGTTTATCTCTCTTCCGCAGGCCTCGCCTTACATAGGTGGGGCTATAGCAGAGCACAGTACAGCCTCACCTTGATAAATGCAGGCAATAGGGTACATTGCAACCAGATATACCTTATTAATCTTATGTCAGTGCATTACACCTGAAGGTTTATCTGCCTTCCTAAAGCTCAGCCTTACATAGATGGGGCTGTGGCAGAACAGGGTACTGTCCTACTTTGATATACACAGGAAATAAGTTGCATTCTGACCAGATATACCTTATTAATCTCATGTCAGAACATCACATTTGAAGGTTCATCTGTCTTCCTCAGTCTCAGCCTTATATAAACGGGCTATAGCAAACCAGGATATAGCTTTACTTTGATACCTACAGGAGGTAAATTGCATTCAGAACAGATATACCTTATTAATCTCAGAATTTTCCAGTGGGTAATGGGACTGCTAGAGGACAGCACAACTACACTACAGAGGCATGAACAAATTTATCATTCATTGTGTTCATCTACTCAATCCAACATCGCCTGGGTGAAGTGCATTTCTGAATTTAGTAATGTGAAACTAGATTAAGATTTAGCTATCCAGATGCATCTGAGAGCAATAGTAATAGGCCTTTAAACCATCTACAGAGATTATCTAATTCTAGGAAATTCCTATGATGGAAATTTCTTAAGAATCTTTTTTTTTAAATACTACATGAGGTAAATGAAACTTCGATCACTGTCATTCATAGTTATGTGATGGAATAGATTTTTACCTTTTACAGCTTAATTTTATATTTAAAATATTTTTATGTTTCAGTTAGTAGTCATTGCCAAAAAATGTAAAAGAAGCAATTATTTGATATATGAATATCAGAAAAGCTTAAATCTTACTACAAGACTGAGATTTACTTCATGTAATTTGCAGGACATGATTTAGTTACGGTCCCAAAGAAAGCCTATAGAGGAAGTTTGTGTGCCTTACTAGCCACAATACAGGTAGAAGCCAACAACTTGCTCATCTTTATTCTTCACCTCCAAAATTAACTGCAATTGACGGCATGCTATGAGTTCTCTGATTATTGGGGCTACATTTTATTTATCTTTGTATCTTCCATACTTAGCATGGCATCTAACACAATGTATAGTAGATGCTTAATCAATGTTTGTTATTTATACCTTTTATTTGTCATCTAAGATCAGCATGTTTACATTCTTGCATAATTGTCAGAGAAAGACACAAAAGTAAAATAGGACAAGATTAAAACAAATAACTGTTTTTAATCTTTTCCCTAACCTATCAGTTTTACTTTTTTTATAGTTGTGATATTCAGGGAATTCAAACATAGCTTTTTACTGTATTTTTGAAAATTCACACTTAGGTAAAGCTTTTGTTCCTTTTTGTTCCTTTTGTAAATTGCTGCTATACTGCTTTTATTTGACTTGGCTACTGAGATTCTTATTATATTTGATACAGAGTTCTGAAATAAACCTGGAAACCTCTCAGATTCTTCTACAATTAAGTGTAGTCAAAAATAACTTTATATGTTTAAATAAGTAGAACAGATCACATAAATGTAAAAGAAATCATCTCATGAAGATTTAGAGTAGAATTATAGATTTTACTTGTGTTTAAAATAATAAAGAATGTGATTTAGATCGTAGATATTCATATAGATGTAGTGATTTCTTCATCACAGAGAAAGTGTTTATTTCATCCACCTTCATATTCTGAAATGGGAAAAAAATTGGGGATAAATGTAATTTTTAACTTTTTAGAATATTTTATGTTCAGGATGGCTGAGTTTGTGATTTGTCCAAATTAGGCAAAAAGGGCAGCTAGCTGCAGAAAGAGCTAAACAAGTAGAAGAGTTCCTGCAGCGGAAACGAGAAGCTCTGCAGAATAAAGCTCGAGCCGAAGGACATATGGTATGACTTTTGTTTGTTTCTGAGATTTTGAATATATTAGTATTCCAAGTGAAGGTCTGAGATAAGGTAAGTGTAAGTAAAAAGAGTGACAATCTCACAATCTGGGCATAATAAAAGGCAGTAAAGACACTCAGAAGTCATTTGCAGAGTATAAAATTATGATATCTTAACTCATATACCTTCTCTTCTGCTATCTTTTATACCGGGGTGGAATTCTGTTGTTGCTTTGGTTAATTGGGAGTAATTTCATTCCTGTATTCTTGCTTTAAAAGAGTAGAAATGGTTATAGCGACCCAAATATTCTTATTAAAGAAATAAATTCTTAGATTGCTATGTGTTTTTTTTTCCCCCAATATGCTTTTGGTTTTGCATACTTTAAGAATTTTAGAAAAAAAATGGGAAATAAGTATTTGGGTAAGTATACATGTAAACTATACATTTTCTCAAAAGCAAATTAGAAATAGAATTAAAGTCTCCAGTTATGTCAATTAACTACATTAAGTCATGTATCCAAGAAAATATTAAGTTTTTAGATAATCATTTCAGTCGTTGAAACTCTTTTTTTCTCTTTGGTGTTTCACAGGATTTGAGATAGTTACAATTCTTCATAGTTTTGACTTGTAGAGGGTGCAGAAATGCCTTTTAACGTTTTGTTTGCAGAACAACTGATGATTATTTCTGTCAGCTCAGCACCCCACAAAGCATCACACTCATACAGGAAAAAGGTTAATTAGATGGTAATATATTTTAATTAGACTTATTACATATCTGTTGTAAGTTCGTAAGTGGTATCTTTGTAAGCTAATGTAGTTCAATATAGTATATTTTTTCTTTGAAACAGTGTCATAGAAACATGGTTAAATTTTTTAATAGTTACGCTTATATTGTTAACACAGATACTTCAGTTTGTTTTTCTCCATCAGAATTAATCTGTATTTGTATCTTTCCCCTAGATAGTAGATGAGAACTGCCAGTCTTTTCCTTTGCCCATATCACCCATGTTAAAAGCAGCTGGAATTTTGATTACAAATATTTACTTAAAATATTCTTAGAAGAGTAGTCTTACCAAAATTTACCAATTTCTTTTCTCAACATTATTCCTTATGTCTTACTATTCCCCCCTCAGTTTAGTTTTTTTTCATGCTGGAGAATTCTTCTGGTAATTCTTTTGGAGATAAACTTTCCAAGATTTTTGGAAAATGTTCTTACTTTGTCCCCATACTTGAACGATAATTTGTAGTGGTGGTCTTCTGGTGAATTGGATTAGCATCTGTATATCAGAAAAAGTATTTTGCTTTTGTTTTTTGACAAATATTTTGGCTAGATATTGTATTATACCCTGACACTTTTTACCTCTGGCTTGCCCTACTTCTGACAAGAACTCTGCATTCATTCTTATCTTTTTCCTCTGTATGTAATGTATCTGTTTTTTCTACTTAAAATTTTTTATTATTACTGTAATCAATTTGATTATGATGTGGTTTGTGTAAGGTGTTTTTTTTTTTTTTTTTGAGACAGAGTCTCACTGTATCACCCACGCTGGAGTGCAGTGGCATGATCTTGGCTCAGTGCAGCCTCCACCTCCCCAGCTCAAGTGATTTTCATGCCTCGATGCCTTGTCCTCGCGAGTAGCTGGGATTACAGGTGTGTACCACCATGCCCATCTAATTTTTGTATTTAGTTAGTAAAGACAGGGTTTCACCATGTTGGCCAAGCTGGTCTTGAACTCCAGACCTCAGGTGATCCACCTGCCTTGGCTTCCAAAAGTGCTGTGATTACAGACATGAGATACTGCACCCTGCCGTGTGTCGTTTTCTTTGTGTTTATTTTGTGTAGGGGTTCATTGAGCTTCTCAGATCTGTAGGTTTATAATTTTCATCAAATCTGGAAAATTTTTATCTATTTTTTTTTTATGCAAAGTTTCACTCTTGTTCCCCAGGGTGGATTGCAGTGGCATAGTTTCGGCTCACTGCAACCTCTGCCTCCTGGGTTCAAGCAATTCTTCTGCCTCAGTCTCCTGAGTAGCTGGGATTACAGGTGTCCGTCACCACACAGGACTAATATTTTGTATTTTTAGTAGAGATGGGGTTTCACCCTGTTGGCCAGGGTGGTCTGGAACTCCTGACCTCAGGTGGTCCACCCGCCTTGACCTCCCAAAGTGCTGGGATTACAGGTGTGAGCCACCGTGCCCAGCCCATTATTTCTTCAAAAGAATTTTTCTGTTTGCCTCTCTCCCTCTTCTAGGACTCTGGTACATATATATTAGGCCACTTTTTACACTACCAACAATTTACTGATGATGCTCTTTATTTTGTTCAGTCTGTTTTTTTTCTCTGTGTGTTTCATTTTGGATTGTTCTATTGCTGTGTCTTCAACTACATTAATTTTTTCTTCTGCTGTGTCTAATCTGTTAATTCTGTACAGACATTATATGATTTTCATCTCAGAGATTGTTTTCTGTTTGTTTGTTTTTTGAGACAGAGATTTCACTCTTGATGCCCAGGCTGAAGTGCAGAGATGTGATCTTGGCTCACTGCACCCTCTGTTTCCTGGGTTCCCATTCTTTACTGCCTTAGCCTCCTGAGTAGCTGGGATTACATGCAGGTGCCACCACACCCAGCTAATTTTTTTGTGTTTTTTACTAGATATGGGGTTTCACCATGTTGGCCAGGCTGGTTCCAACTTTCTAACCTTAGGTAATCTGCCTACTTTGGCCTCCCAAAGTGCTAGGATTGCAGACATGAACCACTGTGCCCCACGAGAGATTGTGTTTCTTATGTTAAAGTTGGTTTGGATTGTTTTTATACCTCTGTGTCTCTCTTCGTAATACTTATGCTTTTCTTCATTTTCTTGAACATATAGAATATAATTATAATAGCTATTTTCATGTCCTTATCTGTTAATTCTGCCATCTTTGTCATTTCTGAGTCTCTGTTGATTGACTTTTTTCCCTCATTAGGGTCATCTTTTCTTCTTTACATATCTGCTAATTTGTAGTTGGATACCAGGCATTGTGTATTTTATGTTGCAGTTTTTTGTATTCTTTAAATATTTGTGGACTTTTTTCTGGGATTGTAGTTATGTTACTTGGAAATAGTTTTGAGTCTTTAAAGGTTTGCTTATAAGCTTTGCTTCTTTCTAAGCTTTGCTAGGTTGATACAGAACAATCTTTAGTCAAGTGCTAATTTGGCCTCACTGCTGTAGCAGTATTCTTTTAAATACCCAGTGCTTTATTGGTTTGGAGGTCTTTTCAGTTTGGCACTTGGAAGTATGAGACATTTGCAACCCTGATTGAACTTCAGGTATTATTGACAATATGCTATTTGTCATTCAGCAAGAAGCTCTAGGGTTCCTCTTTAGATCTTAAGCATACTTCCCTGTACAACTCTTTCTTCTTTTCAATTATGTCCTGCAAATTCTAGTGTTCTTCAATTTTCCAAGGTCTGAATACGGTTTCCTCAGTTTGAGAGACTGCCAAGCTCTGTTTGGTTATCTTCTCTCTGTGCTGCAGCCAGGAAAGCCTTGCCAGTCAGTAAAGTGGGAAGCTGTTGGGTTTACCACCTTTGGTTCCCTCCTCTCCAGGCTAACTGTCCTGTGCTCTGTTGTCCAGTGTTTGAAAACCATTTCATATGTTTTGTTCAAACTGTAGTTGTTTAAGATGAAAGGGTAGATCTGTTACTTCATCATGACTGGAAGTGAGCCTTGAATGATAATTTGGCTGAATAAAGAAATAGAAGTTTGAGGTTTATTTTTCATAGCACTTTGAAGATTCTGCTTTCTTATTGTCTGTTTTTTTTTTAATTGCATTTTAAGTTTTGGGATACATGTGCAGAACATGCAAGACATTTGCATAGGCACACACATGGCAGTGCGTTTTGCTGCCTTCCTCCCCTTCACCCACATTTGGCATTTCTCCCCAGGCTAACCCTCCCCAGCTCCCGCCCCCACTGTCCCTCCCCTCTTCCCCCCAGTAGACCCCAGTGTTTGGTACTCCCTTCCCTGTGTCCATGTGTTCTCATTTTTCATCACCCACCTATGAGTGAGAATATGCAGTATTTCATTTTCTGTTCTTGTGTCAGTTTGCTGAGAATGATGTTCTCCAGATTCATCCATGTCCCTACAAACGACACGTACTCATCATTTTTGATTTCTGCATAATATTCCACAGTGTATATGTGCCACATTTTCCCAAAGCAGTCTATCATCAATGGGCATTTAGGTTCGTTCCAGGTCTTTGCTAATTTAAACAGTGCTGCAATGAACATTCGTGTGCATGTGTCCTTATAGTAGAACGATTTATAGTCCTTTGGATACATACCCAGTAATGGGATTGCTGGGTCAATTGGAATCTCTATTTCTAAGGCCTTGAGGAATCACCACACTGTCTTCCACAATGGTTGAACTAGTTTACACTCTCACCAACAGTGTAAAAGTGTTCCTGTTTCTCCACATCCTCTCCAGCATCTGTTGTCTCCAGATTTTTTTAATGATTGCCATTCTAACTGGCATGAGATGGTATCTCAGTGTGGTTTTGATTTGCATCTCTCTAATGACCAGTGATGATGAGCATTTTTTCATATGTTTGTTGGCCTCTTGTATGTCTTTTTTTGTAAAGTGTCTATTCATATCCTTTGCCCTTTTTTGAATGGGCTTGTTTGTTTTTTTCCTGTAAATCTGTTTGAGTTCTTTGTATGTTCTGGATATCAGCCCTTTGTCAGATGGGTAGACTGCAAACATTTTTTCCCATTCTGTTGGTTGCCGATTCACTCTAGTGACTGTTTCTTTGGCCGTGCAGAAGCTGTGGAGGTTCATTAGGTCCCATTTGTCTATCTTGGCTTTTGTTGCCAATGCTTTTGGTGTTTTGGTCATGAAGTCCTTGCCTACTCCTATGTCCTGAATGGTTTTGCCTAGATTTTCTTCTAGGGTTTTTATGGTGCCAGGTCTTATGTTTAAGTCTTTAATCCATCTGGAGTGAATTTTAGTGTAAGGTGTCAGGAAGG